TTAGAAAAGAATCCTTGCTATAGTTTCTGTTAGTCTGTATTTTCTCACCAGTGCAGAGCTAATTAAAAATGTGGGGAAATCCCTAAATTACTCCTATAAACTCAAAGCCTACATTATCTTTAAAAGAACCATGAGCCGCTCCTATGTCTAAAGGCAAAATACTTATACAAATTTCTGAGGCAAAAACCACAGTATGTGTTTGTGAACTTTACCCAACTTTTCAAGATATTTCTGTGACCTAATAGGTATTTTCTACCTCCAAAAACTGTCATTTTATGAGATCAAAGATTCCAGAGTAAAGATATTATTGCTCTTACAAAATTACCAATCACAGCTCCAGACCATACACTGGCTCCAAGGCAGGATCAACTCTCCCTGAAACTTCCTGGATAACTGCTTGTTTAGCTAGTCCTTAAAAACTTGTGGTGCTGGATAGCATAGAAATTCCTAAAATAAACTGCTGTAGGACTCAACCAGCTTTTTTGGCTGCAGTATTTTCAGAAGAGCTGCCCTATGCAGCCACATTTCTTTGCTGCTCTTAACCCTTATTTCCTGCCTGAGGCAGACTCTGACCTGCAACACCAGGCAGATTGCTCAGGTTAACTGAAGGCTTCTTCACCTCTCTGATTCCTCTTTCAACTCTTGAATCATCTGTATATTTGAAATCAGAGAAAACGTTGGTCTTTACCTGTTTACTCCCCCTCAAGACAAAAAGGCCCCTCTGCTGTGCTAGTAGGAGATGATAGAAAGATGATGTAGCAAGATCCAGCTTCCAAAAACTATGTGGAATTTTTCAATGATTAACATCCTACAGAAATGTCAAAATTTCTAGCAAAAAAATATAACAAGGTATATTGACTATGATTTTCTTTTTAAAAATTTAATATTGCACTTGTACAGAACCAGTGCTGAGAACTAAACTGCCAACAAGAGAGGGCTCTGTAGTTAAGCAGTGAAGGAACAGTGATAATTTTTATACTTTTAATAGCATTTAACTTCTTTAACAAACTATTTAACTTTTGATCAATGTTTGTAGATGGTAGATGAGTAACCCACAGGTCACACAGAGGGGTAAAAACAGCAGTCAGAGCCTCGACTTCCAGAAGTATTCACTAAATTTAAGTGTCACCATTTTGAGATATCCTATAAGGGCCATGCAGAGTGTGAGCAGTGCACTAGCAGCTGCCACTTGTGGAACAGAGCAGGCAGCACACAGATAATGTGCACTGGAGCAGCTCTTCAGCTACAGCACTTGAGAGTACTCAAAGCAGCACATGATGCTTCACCCTCTTGTGTGAATCAGAGAAACACACAAGGAGTGAAGAATTTTCATGCTGTGTAAAGAAGAGCTGGGTAATGAAGTGTGTAAAGGGTGCATGACACGTGAATGAGAAAGCAAAAAGGTTCCTAATGAGTCTCCTCTACATGACCTGAAATGACATGAAATCTGACAATTTAAACAAATTCAGTGCTAACACTCTATTTTATGTCTGCTACTGAATCTTATTTACATTTCCCTTTTTTCTCCAAAATTCTATGCACACTGACTTAGGCTGCACGTGTGATAGGGAAGGTTCTCTGCTCCTACTGACTTATGGGTTTGCATTATTGTAACACTGAGAAATCCACTGCTGACAATCAGTGAAATGCAGCACTGCCCACAGCCAGCCTCTTCTCTAACCATGAGGAAGTTCCCCATCACAGAATGTGGCATTTGGAAGTTTTGTATCTTTAAAACATTCCCCTCTGAGCAGGTTATTGTTTAAAGTTACAGAGTGAGAGCAAACAGTCCAGAAACACACAAATATAGTCAGCACACCACAGTCTGCCTGAATGTTTGGAGCTGTTTTGAATGGTCTGAACTGAACTAGCTCACTCAATCTTAAATTACTTACCCAAAATAAAGACCAAATACATTATACATGACAACTTTATTTTTATTTCTGAAATCTAAGAAAAGAATATCCCAAATTTTTCCTCTTAGTATAATGCTATCCCTTCTGTTGCCACATAGCAGACTGCAAATGTTAAGAAAGCTAATACTAAAAATCCCTGAAGCCAAAAGGATAAACTGGTGATAAAAATGTCTTGTATAATAAGGATGTATAAACTGTATTACTTTCACACCAAACACAGCTGGAAAAGAAGTGAATTGCAAAGTTATGGTTTAATGATATCCTCTTTCAGAATTCTCTCAGATGCCTGATAAAAAAAAGCCCCAAAACCTCTCTTGTGCAGGGGAGAGCCAGGCACCACCCAGAACCTTGGGAATACCAAAGGAAACAACCACTTCTACTTCACTGTGGGACAAAGGGGATAAATGAAGCTCCTTCAGTGTCTCCCAGCAGCCTGAACTGCCAGAACTGAGCCATCTTTCCCTCCCTGATAGTATCTAAAAACAGGGAAGACTGTACATTTTCTGCCAGAGCAGATGCACAGAACAAACTTATAGAAACAAGACAGGCAGGAAGAAGGAAAAGAAAAGAAGAAAGAAAGAAAAAAAGCAGTTGGAATTTAGACAGTGAATAGAAAGGAATTCAGAGCCATTGCAGTGACCTGTCTAACCTAGGAAGTATTGGATATGGCAGACAGCAAACAAGACCAGCAGAGTGGAAAAAGGGTCACTGGCTCCAGGGACAGCATTTCCATCCAAAAGCCAGTGGATCACCTTTTGCAACAAAAACCCTCACACTTATTTTTTCCCCCCAAGAATTATAGACACTGACAACTGACAGATTAAACCAGCAGCAAACCAGCCCAGATCTTCACTTTTCCCAAAAACAATATCCTCAGCTTCACTGAATCAAATCATGGCAAACATTGATTTGTTTATTTTGTTTGTCTGGGGGGAGGAGGGGTTGTGTGGTTTTTTGGTTTGTTTGGGGTAATTTTTTTCTTTTTGGTGGTTTTCTCTTTTTTTTTGCTTTAATACAAATAAACATTTTAAAGACAACTAAATAGAGAGAGAGATCTTTTTCAAAGTGAGTGGAACCTTTCCTTCTGGAAGATTTCATCTCATGCAATGTCCTTAACTCTGCCAGCACAACTAAAAACCAGCAATTCTCCATATTTCAGCCCAAATTTTTTTTTATTTTATTTTTATTTTATTTTTATTTTATTTCTTTAGTCTCCAGACATTTGGACATTTACAAAAATTAATTGAATCTCAAGTTCACAAATAAAAATTTTTATCTTATCAAACCAGGTGGGAATCAAGTTAAAGCCCACAAGGACATGACTGACCAGGCACAACCTGTGAATGCTGCATTAGCCACAAAGACTCTGAGGACTGAAAACTGACCAGGCACAACCTGTGAATGCTGCATTAGCCACAAAGACTCTGAGGACTGAAATCCTTAATTAAATTAAATTAGTTAAGAAAAGAGAGCATTCATTCAATTTTCTGATTCTATATTAGTGAGCTAATGGACATGGTGTATCAGGAGAGGAAATAATAGACATTTGCTATATTTTCTGAACAGAATGAAGTAAAACATGAAATGTTTTGCCCTCTGCATCTTCAGCCAGTCAGTGCCAGGAATGGCACAGCCCCAGCATAAAATTGTTTAAACTCAGTAAGCTTCATCACCAAAATTAATACCTGCTGTTTGTGCTGCAGCAGACAGTAGAAACTACTTTGCACAGCAATAATCACCAGCTAAGTTGTGTATCTGAGACTTTGCTGCACCTGCTTCTCTACCACTAACACAAGTTTCAGAAGTAAATTACATCTCAGGCAAACCCAGATCATCACACGAAGCACGCACTGCAGAGCAGCTCAAACAAACAGCTCAAACAACAAACACTTGAGACATCAAGGTACCAGCTGCTTAAAAAATATGTAGGGAGAGTTACAACTGCAAAGAGCTTAAGTTGACCTGTGCTTATTTTGTACTGTAAATTTTCTTCCTAATTTTGCCTTGAAACTTTGCTGCAAACAATATCCACCTCTATTTGAAAAGCCACAACATTTTGTCACTTACTGCTGCACAGAGCATACAATTACAGCAATGTAATTGTCACAGGAAGGTGGCATTTAGAAGCTAGAATCACATCACAATGAACATGAGGAAAATGACTGGAATCACAGAAAACGTGAGATAAAGGAGATGAAGCCACAAAAAGAAGCAATATGTTGAAATAGGGACTTCAGCTGTGATGCTCAGGTGCAGGAGATGGGGAAGATGATCAAAGCCCTCTGACAGATTTCCATTAGTAAAAATATCAGCAGCAATGAAGTTCTGGCTACACACAAAAGCATAACTCCATGTTGGCAGGATGGGCAGCTGGCACAGCTCCAAAGCCCACGCCTGATCAATATTCTCTCAGCAGATACTCCAGTCCTGTCTGCAGAGGGGACCAATGACCTCAACACACATCTCTAGAAATAACTTCCACTCAGTACACACAGACTAATGTCTTCTCCTCTTGTTCAAAAAAGAAAAGAGCAACTGCAGCTCCATCTGCAACAGGAAGTGTCAGAATGTTCCAGGCTATGATTCCAGCCTGTGAATGTTAATTAAATACAGATTATCCTGCACTGCAGAGATGCATTTTAGAAACCTTGAGTTTAAAAGAGTACAAATCAATCCTTAGAATTAGCTATTTGCTTAATTTTCCCATTTTTCTCCTCAGTCTACTGTGACACTACACTATTAGGAATGATATTTTAAGCATCTAAGTCTCACAAATTCCATTTTAGGAGCAAGATGTTCTGAGTTCAGCACTGAAATGCCCAGCATTAGCACACCTGCATTTCTGTGCTGAACTGCCTTGAGAAAGTTCCCACTCTGAACTCACCAGAAAATTTGAGTATGGATCAGGAGCTGAAAAGTCTCTCCAGTGGTTCATACTGAATTAATTTTCCTCCCAGATCAGCCCTTTAGGAATTCACCCTCAGTGTTCTCACCATCATCTGGGTTTTTCTGTGCACTTTTCATGGTCCTACTCAGCCCTATTGCTGCACAGGGAAGCTCCCAGTCCAAACCCAACATTTTTACCTTTGGATCAGCAGTCAGCAGCTTGAATGCTTGATAGACTTGTGCTTCTTTCACACCTCCACCCAGATCCAAGAAGTTGGCTGGCTTTCCACCATTCAGGGATATTATATCACATGTTGCCATTGCAAGTCCAGCTCCATTGACTGTAATTGCAAACATCAAGTGCTTGTAATTCACACAGATAAAATGGGTGAAAAGATTTAAAATGTATCAGCACAACCCCAGAATATGGCTCAAAATGTTGCACAGCTATTTCTAAATTCTAGTAGCTATTCAAGGATATCCAATGCAACAAATAATTCAACATCTGGTGCAAACACACCAGCATTTAGGATTTTTTAGGGCTTATATGTGCACCTTCCTTTAAGCATGTATGAGCACTGGAATAATAAATGTGGCAATGCAGAACCTTCTGATTTTATTTAAAATAAAGTGACATAAGAACTTCTGGGAACAGTGATGTGAAGGAGAAATTGACTCTTCAAGCTCCTCTCCCACCACTCTGATGGCAGTGGATGCTTTGGATTACTGCATCACAGATAACTCAGTTTTGGGGACAGACCTCAGATGTTCCTGAAACTGCTTTTTACTTTGGATTTGCACTAGTCTTGAAGCATTTCTATGGGTAGGAAAATCTAAACTGGGAAAAGTGATGAAAATTATGTGTCCCCTTTATGTTGCTCCTATTGGACAAAGGCTCCTGTGTCACTCAGAAAACAGACCACTAAAAAATAGCATAATGCTGGCAATTATTATTTGGGTTTTGGGATCTTTTAGTTGTTTTTTTAAATTGAGATTGAAGTCTCACTGTCACTTACTGAATCAACTGCAACACATTATCAGAGCCTTCTATATTTGTGTTTGGAATACATATCTGAGCCAATATAAATGCTGAGCATTTCCTTACCAAGTAAAAAAAAAAACCAACTAATTTAATTAGATTAATAATAAAATGTTGTATTGGCTAAAAGAATCTGTAAAATATGAAAATTATTTAGAGCACAACTGATTTTTCTACTTATCTCTTCTACACAGCAGCGTAATTTCTGTTCTACAGAAGCTTCAGGAAAATAAAAAACCTGCCATTTCCAAGCAGATTCTTCAGCAGCTTTCCTTAAAGGGAAATGGAGTTTAATATTCAATTGTAGCTGGGAATGTAACATTTACACATACTTTTCAAGTGTCTTTTAAGAAACAGTCTTATTTTTTAAAGTGAATGATTAGGTTTTGATGACTTTTCCTGTTTTGTTTTAATTGCTGGAAAGACCAATTTCTTCAGGTTAAAACCTCAGAATCTGAAGCTGTTTAGCCTCTCTTCTCTCTGACACCACTCCTGCCCTGCTTGTGTGCTGTGGCCATCAGCACATTTTCCACACAATTCTACTTTCATTCCTGCAAGAACTTATGGAAGGACACACAAAACTGCAGAAATACTCAGTAAAACAGACTGAAATTCTGTCAAGGGTGAATGTCAGATGTAAACAAAGTCTATACACTAACAAGTGTAAATTTGTTTTCAAATGGCTTTTGGATGTATTTGTCCTTACCAAAGCAAGCAATGTTTCCATCCAGTCCTATATATTTTAAGTCATATTTGGCAGCTTCATTCTCTATGGGCTCATTTTCAGACTTGTCATCCATGGCAAATATTTCTTTTTGCCTAAATTCTGCGTTGTCATCAAAGTTTATCTTGGCATCGAAGCAAACAACTGGAGGAGAAAATAAAACAACACCCAAGCATTTAGAGTTTACTGTCAGCCAGAGCTTCTGAAATATTACAGCTACTCCAGCAGCGAGGGGGAGGTTGATTTTGGGAATGATGCTGCCTCCAACACAGGAGCAGCTGAAGTTCTAGCACTGATTCAGCAGGAAAGAACAGGTTTTCCATAAATCCTCTATTGAGAAAAGGCACAGCAAGATCTCCACACCACACAGGAAGATCTTCTGTGTGTGCTACAAAGTTCCTGTGTGCCATGAGGGCAGTTTCTGTGATTTGGACAAGTAGAAAATGACAGAGGAGACTTTAACTTCCATATTTTGAAAGAATAACAGATAAAACAGGTAACCAATTCAAAGCCATGTGTGGTAACATGCAGTCATTCAGAGCTGAGCAACACAAAATGCTTTCCTTAGCCATATTTTGAATTTCTGATGTTATTGACTATACAAACATTACTTCATTAAAGAGCTGAAAAAACCTGAAGCCAAATGTGTTAAAAATGACCAAAAGATTACTTTTAAATAAAGAAAATTAAGAAAGTAAATACAAACTTTCTCATCAATATCAACATCCACTATGGTTGTGAAAACAAATTAAAAGGTTCTGAATCTGACTACATTAAATAAAAGATAAAGAGGACTGGCTAGCTGCCACAATATTCACATAAACACACCAGTAACAGAAAAGCCTGTAGAGTGTTACTTGCCTATTTTCTGACTCATTATTTCTATGGGTTTGCATAGGCAAATGCCTCATTAGATTAAAATGTTCTAAGTAAATGTAAGACTATATACTTATCATATTACTATGCAAGTAATTTCCCTTGTACTATGTTCAGATTATAATTACTGACTTAAGCATAATTGATTTCTCAAGGCAAACCAACCAAATTTAAGTGCCTTTAAATGCTGTGTCCATAAAAATCTAATAGTTTTTCTCTCTGCTGGCGTTTTTTTATTCACATTGCCATTGGGACACATCCATGGTACATTTGCACGTGTTCATGAGCATTGCACACATCTGGAGGTCAATGACAATTAAGAGGACAATTTTAGTCTTTGCTGTAGATAAACATCAATTAAAATAATAAAGCACACAGTCTTGTTTGGTGTCTAGCACACAGTTTCCTATATTAGGAAAAAATAGCTAAGGAAACAGCAAACAAAACATTTACACAAGTAGAAGAGTCCCAACTGTATATTTTGATTTGCACTGAGTTTTCTTGTTTTGGTTTTTTGATTTTTTTTAATGTATTTTTTAATATTTGACTTGCAACTGATAACAGATTAAATTAAAACTATCAAATTTCACTTCAGTGACTGCAGTTTCAGGAAAGTGATCATAAGTGTGTATAATAAATCTCTTTCAAGAGTCCAGATCTTACCTGGTCAACCATCATGTGGGAATGTGCCAAAAGCAGAAATATCTGCAGTTCCTAACATGCTTCTAATGTACTAGAGCTGCTTTAATTATTTTTTTAGCAATGATATAAGACAATTTTTCTTCCTCAAGCTTTCAGGTGCTTAAATTGCTAAACCCACTCAAAGCAATAGTAAAACTGCAGCTTCAGAGCTTGGTTTACCTTACACACCAACATCTTCCATGTCACATTAATAGAAACTCATTTCTAAAGAAGTCATTTTTAACAAAGGCCATGCTATACAAAGTAGAAGCAAGACCATGTCTTGATATTTATCAAACCATTTTCACTATCAAAAACACATTGTTACATGCATGATAGATTATACAAATGGATTTTTCTTCCACATAAATATCAAAGAATGCTCCAACACTTATATTCATGAAGTACTTCTGTTGTTTTTGTTAGTGGTGTAGGATTTTGTCATCTGCCAATTCAACAGTTTACACTGAGAGCAAACAAAACAAAAACAAACAAACAAAAAAAAACCAAGGGGAAGTTTCAGGCTTTTGACCCACTAGTGTTAACAAAGAATTTGCTAAGATATTAAACAAGGAAATACAAAGAACCTGATGGAAATCCATACAAGTGATAAACAAAAAACACAGCAAGAAATAAATCCATCTTATCCATTACTTTGACAAGAATAATGGGCTTCATACAGAGATTTGTATTTTATCATTAGGGAAAGCTACATTAAGCTACTCAAATGTTTTTCCATTTGTTTTATCTTTATTCTTCTTTAAGACATTTCAGATGGAGAAACTGCTAGCAAAAAAGGAATAAGCACAGGAAGACTCCTGTGCATTTCTGTGAGCAAGATGGCTTTCACAGCTTGAAACCCACTCTGTTTCTGCTCCTCAGCTTCCTGGATGCAAAACACATGAGGAAAAACTTTGGATAAAACAGCACAAAAACTCCTACCATCCCTCAGATTAAGGGGAAGCACAGCCATTCCAGAAGAGCTAACTTGGTAACTTATCCAAATCTTTATTTCCACAGTGCCACCTTGCAGAATGCCAGCAAGGATGCAAAGCGAGTGCCACCACGGTTCTTTCCAATCTTTAAGGACCACATTTTATTTCCTCTCATTACTTACCCTCCTCTCCCTCACTTGCCTCTAGCTGCACACCAATTTCCCCTCTTGGTGCCCACCAAATGAGCCTTCAGCACCTCAGTGAAATGGAGCAATGAGGAGGTAACTGTGATCCCCTGGATCAGCCCTGCCAGTATTTCAACATCCCACAGGCACCTTCAGTTCCTCCCCTCTTCACCTTTGTCCAAGTTACTTGGACAAAATGACAAAAGGAAAAAAGGGTTTCAGCTGGAGCACCAACCATTATAATGAGGTGAAAGCTAATTCAGCTCCTTACTTTCACCCTACAGCTCCTCAGCCCTGTAGTTATGGTGCACGAAGCTCAGTGACCCTTTTTCTTCCCAAAGGCTGTAGCCAAGTGTCTCCTTCAGCTGAGATTTGTCCTGTGCTCTGGTAGACTGCAGTCATACACTTCAAAATTTAAATTACCCATATGAATGCAAACATAAAACAAGTTTCTTTCCACACAATCTCAGTAATTCTAACAGCATTAACACACACACACACACAAAAACACCAAAAAACCCACAAAACAAAATCAAGAAAACCCCAACTTTGTACATGAGCAGAAGAGCAGAAAATGTTGCTGTCCCTCACCAAGCAGAACATGTAGAAGCCAATGCTTCCAGTACTTGGATGGAACAACAAAAGGTATTGAAATATCAAATCTGCCAAGGGAATATTTATGAATCTTGTTTAAATTACACTACAAAATGAAATTAATGCAAAGCTACTGCTACATCCTCCTATGCAATTTAATTTATAGTTTGCATAAATAAAGAATTATAATGCATTCATTTGTTTCCTTCAATTTCTTACCTTGCCCTTCTGGAGTTTCACCAAAGGGATTGACTTCAACCTGAGTGGCATCAATTTTCAAGAAAAGATTATACAGCTTCTTAATTTGATCTGCTGCCTAAATGTGATGAAATGATTTACAATTACCACACAGAAAAATAAAAGTTCATACTTTCAAGGCAAAGAAAGGAAAACCATTATTGATTATTTTTAATGTATTACATTGCACATTAATTCTAGATAATTACTGCTTTTATTTCTGTTTTTTTAACCATATTCATATAGTCTCTTACACTGTTATAGTGTAGCATTATGATACTGTGTAACATTTAGTAAATGTGCATTTAAAGACTACATGAACTGGATATTTTCTACAAAATAGACAGTGCAATTACTATGACAAGTTTAATTTGGGAAGTGTCTGTTAGGCAGCAGCATAATGAAGTATTCTCTGGTACACTGAGATCTGAGCTGCATTCATGTTAATCAGTCTAAAGTCAGAAACCACAAAGTAGTTTGTGCACTCTGGTGACTTCAGAAAAAATATCTGTTTTTCTTTCCTGTATCAGTCTGAAATATTTTCTTGAAGAACTTATGTCTGAAGTTACCCATTACAAGATACTCCTGCTTGCTCCCTATTACTCCTCACCACCTCTCTCCATGCCTGATTCCATGGCTCAAAGCACCACCACTGACTACTAATTTCCAAGGCTTTGTTCTTTTAAAATTTTTCCACTAATGGAACTACTTAATAACAGCAACATGAATGTTTATCAAAAAATCCCTTTGGTTCATTACACATTGTGAACCTATTAGCTGAAATAAGTTTGCAGATGAAGTGCACTAATAAAGAACCACTCAATTTTTTCCCTCTCATTACTGGTCAGCTAACTGAAGTACACAACCCAAAAATACTTGGGACTTCTCCTGGTAAATAAAATGAATTAGAGTAAAGAAAGCATAAGTCAGCTTTCCCTTACAAGGTCACTTATGCAAAATAAAACATTACAACTGGAAAGACTCAACCCCAATCCCAGTTTGCCCAGAGAGGCTGTGGAGTGCCCATTCCTGGAAGTGTTCAAGGATGGGCTGGGTGGGGCTTGACCTGATCTAGTGGAAGGTGCCCCTGCCCAGGGGAGGGTGGGTGAAACTGGATGGGCTTTAAGGTCCCTTCCAACCTAAACTGCTTTGTGATAAGGTTCTTTCAAGAGACACAGTTGGGAAGCAGCACAAATTGCTTAGGAAGTATTCCCTGCTCAAGAGTTATCAGTTGAAGCATTCTCAGTGGGTCTGACTTAAAAAAAAATATGGGTTGTAAATGTGCAGCAGCTTCCTTGGCACAAACCCTGAGGCTGACAAACCACCCCAAGAGCACAGGATGAGGCTCTCAGCAGTGATTCTGGGGAGGCAGCCCCACCATGAACCCCACTGGGCCACCTGAAAAGCTGCTATTGCCACAGTCCTCTGCTGCAATTGCACCAGAGCACCAGAATCACTCCACTTTCATTAAGGGCTGCTCCATCTTTCAGCACCTCTCTGAATCAGGCAGCTTAATGTCAATACTTCTCTTTCTCAGGGTGTAAGAACTGAGCCTCTTCAAGCAGAAAATCCCAGACTAGAACTAGAGAATATATAAGTAAATACTAGGATTTGTCTGGATAAAAACTATGTCCCTATGCTTCAGTAAATTCCTTTTAGCTGACAGCAAGAGGAAAGAAATGCATTCCTAGAGCATTATTTAAATGTGTTGTTTCAAAGTCCATACACATTTGCTGTTAATTATTAAGTACCAGAACTCTTCAAGAGCTGAAAAGTTCTACATAATCATTCCTCCTCATTAGATATACAGCTAAATCTTCAAATGTGTGTTAATCAACTTAATCATTATGCATTTGTTAATTGCATGTTAGGATAGAAAATAATTAAAACTGCTGAATTAAAAATAAAAGAGTTCCACAAAAATGACAGTTTGATACTACAGAAAAACACAGGCCAGCTTAAATGAGCTCTCTTCTCTCCAAAGTGATCCATAAAGGCAAATATATATACTCAAAATATATATACATATAGAAAAGAAATACTGAAAATACAACATGCTGATAGCCTTTTGTTTTTGAGCTGAATAAAAAAAAATTAAAAGGTTTCAATCACAAAGCCAGATACACTTTTATTTCTCCCTGTATTATGAGCAAATTTTCAGAAACAGCTCTACCCATGCCATTCACAGAGCTCCAGTGGAATTCCAAGGAAAACAAAGGAATGGTGGAACAACATGTTGCCATTGAGTGCTCCAAGGACTAGGGACTCTCACTTTAAAACTATAAGAAACTTATTCAGAATGCTAAAGCCTAATGACAATTACATTGGTGCAATTTAGTATTTAGGATGTGAAAATGATGCTGATTTAATGGACTCTTGGCCTTTCCTGCCTATTGGAAAACATTTAATACAGAGCTGGGCTAAAAAGCTTTCAGCCCAAACCCAGGCAGTGGAGTCAAGTTACCTGCTGCTGCAAAGATCCTTGGAAGCCCAAATTTTTTGCCATCTGCAAAGCCTGATGATCCTTCACGCCTTCAAAAATATCTATTTCCTCCTGCAACAGTAACATGTGTAAATATAACTAAATATTCAATCTGAATGGAGGTTTATAACTTCAAAAGGAAAACACTTAGTATACAAGTGCAAATTAGTAATTAAAGCCTGGCTGTTTGCCAAGGCTCCCCCAGACTGAGGCTGTAACAGCTGCCTATAGGGGATGTTATAATTACCACACTGACTATGAAACAGTCCTTCCAAAAAATATATAATTCTTCAGGGTGGCACGCTGACAAGACAATGTGACACCAGCTTTCACTTTTAATTACTGTACAGATGGCATTGACGAATATTTAGTCTGTTAATTTTTATGACATATTCTGGAATATTTTCAAGGCAGTGAGTGTCACTGCCCAGTAACACTGTGAAGTTTATATAATTTTTAAATGCACATTAAATATTTTTACAATTTTCTGAATAATTATACTTGATTGTATCAATTATTTTCTCAGCTGAATAGCTTATCTAGTCATTATCTTGCCACAGTAACTTAAAAAATACTTCAGTGTAGTCATCATTAAGAAAGTAATTACAACAGTTGTATTTCAGATGCAAAAGTCTTGCAGGTACAAAAAAATAATTAACAACTTTGTCAATTAGAGAAAAACAGCCACAAAAACAATAAGTATATTGGCACCAACCCACTTGTGAAAAAACTGTGTGCCTTCCTGAAAGTGAAACTCACTCATAAAATGTTTCAGATCTGAAGTTTAACATATCACATAACAGCCAGATTTAAGACCTTTTTCTAATTGAAAAATTCTAGTAAAATCAGATGTTAAATATGCTTCATTTACTAGATGACAGCTATGATCCTGTATTTGATGAAACTATTTTTACAGTTCTTCCTGTCTCCTTTTTACATGGAAGGAAAAACGGAACAAGAAAGGGGGAAAAAGATATTCTTTTGGATAACTGACAAGGAAAATTGTTATTGCAAAACATTATTTCAGTACCTTAAAGATAAGTTCTGGGCTAGTTACTGCAACTTCTTCGATGTCCACACCACCCTGAGGACTGCCAACCATGACAGGTCCATTGCAGGCTCTGTCCATCAGAATTGCAAAGTATGTTTCCCTTAAAATATCCAGTGCTTCTGCAACCATCACCTAAAAATGGATAGAGGGAAGAGAAGAAAACATCAGTGGTTCTGACTGGTCCTTCCGCTTTGCCTTAAAATGCAGTAGTTTAATGCTTGCTATCCTGAAAATAAATGTTGGTTTCACTGCTTTTACTGCAGTTCCACAGCCCTGTGACCTTTTTCCCAAGAAATGCTCTCTCCTTAAGTAAGAGCCTCCTCTAATGCTGCTCTTCTCACTGGGGCATGCAGCGAGAAATGCAAACCAGAACACCTCGGGGCTGGGGTTTTCCCAAGAGCTGCTGCTGTGTCCATACTGCAGATCTCTGTATTACCTGTTTATCCCAATAATTTGGGATAATTCTTGATTATCAAGACAATAATTCTTTTCCCCAGAAACACTTGGGTGACAAAGAACTCAGTGTGCAGATCACACAGATAAAAGGACTGCCACGTTGGCTTTTGGATGCATCTCACCAGCAGTGCTGTTCCTCACCAGCAAACCCTCAGGCTTAACTTCTTTCCCATATTCTCACCAAAGGCCACTCAGCCCTTTTAATCTTTGCACTGAATTCCTGCCCTGCCCAAGTATTTCTTAAGAAAATGGGTTTACAGGTACCATTTTGCCATCCAGGTTTTTATTTTCAATTTAGAGAGTCGAGCAGGTATGTGTCCTTCAGATACTGGCACAATTTAGAAACAGATATTTATTTTCCCAACGAGCTACTACTTTCCCATTATTACTACAAGCTACAGAGCCATTTTGTACCAGTATCTGACAGACACCACAACACAAAACAGAGAGATGATTCAAATCCCATCTTTGGAATGTACAAGCACCACATTGGTAATTGGCCCATATAAACTCTTTGCTACAATTTTTTCCCTCCTCCCAAAAACAAGATCAGGTCCTTTCCATTTTAGCATTACAATAACTGTACCTGCCTCCTCACCTGAACTGTCCATTTTTGCAATAGTTTAACAGTAGCTATTGAAGTGATTTCAGAGACTGAGGAGTTTTACACTTGCAAAGGACTCACAAAACTGTTTTGCTATAAGAATACTAAATTTCCCAAAATATTCTTAATTTTAGGAAAATATCTGCATATGATCATCAGTAATTTTTGCCTGTGATCATAAAAGATGCCACAATCAAAGCTGCAAAGACTGTAGTTCTGCTCTGCACTACAGTCTTGCTTTTCAGTCTAAAAGTGAAGCAGCCACCTCTGCAATTTAATTACCAGTCCATTCCTCCTTAAAACAGCTACAGCTTTCAATGAAAGAGGAAGAAACCAGGAAAATCACTTCCCAAATATTAATATAATTAAGAAGGATCAAGTGGCAACATCCTTCTAACAGGGTTTGTTTATGAAGTGACAGTTTTGAACAATGACTGCAGACAGTCATCATCACTGAATATACCACAATGAGAAATTCATCCTTTCAGTCAGCAGATCCAAGAGGCATTTTTATACCTGCAGCCTTAAAACTCTGCCTACCTGGCACAAGGTGCTCCATCAAAAGAGTGTTCCTGGGGTTTTCATAGTTCAAGGACTATAAACAAGAAAGATGCACTATACTTTCACCCAAGTCGCATTTTTGACAGTCTATTCAAGAGTAGATAAGAAAGAATGTAAGGACTTTCTGCCAGGCAGTAGGTATTAGAGAAGAGGAAAAATAAAAACAACTGTAAGAAACAGGGAATCAAATAAAGACATCAGTGCTCAGAATTGAAGGAAAGATGAAATTTCTCTATGGTCTTTTTTTGACTTGGAAGAAATTTGCTTTATAGTAATTTTGTTTCCTTCTGCTTTTACCTCACTTTATTCACACAACATTGGGGGATATAAAGGAATAGTTCAAATAAGCGACTGTTCAAAAGGAAAGTAAAGAAAGCCAGGGTGAAGGAGAGAAGCAAGATGCAGAAAACTACTGTACTACTTAAAAGCATCTGCCTATTTTAATCTACTACAGAGGGATGCTAAAAGACAACTTCAGAGACATAGCTTGGCTACCTGCCAAGATTTGTCAAATTAACAAGCAAGGGTAGGGAAAGCATCCTTGATTTGCTGCTATTTTTACCTGCATCCATGTTTTCACCTTCTTACATATCCTGCATCAATGTATCTGAAAAATGTGCATCAGTTGCTTTAGACACAAGTCAGATAAAACCAACTGGTCCTACTGGATCTTATCAGAGCTGTTGTTTCCACAGAGATCAGGGTCAGGGCCAGATTTAGGATGGGAATACACTCAACAAGCTTTGAGGAATACATTTGCAGGCACAGCAGGTGGAATTAATATTATTAAATCAGGTATCTTCAACTGTGACTTCCAACCAGAGTGATTGTCCTCACCGTTGCTAATTAACAATGTCATCATCATCAGATACTTCTGTCTTAATTCACAAAACTACTAAGTTGCAGTAGGCAACCTTAGAGCAAAAACTGTCAGATGGTGAAGTATCTCTAATTTCTCCCAACAAAGTAACTTTCCTTCATTCTCCTGGTTTGATGCAGAGCAAAGTCAGGGCAATTGGTGTTCCAGAGCTTTAAATATCATTTAAGTCTACTTATCACTCACATGCCAGAACTAATGCAAACACCTTGATGAACAGTTAAGAATAGTGAAATTGAATCTACAGACTGTTGACTCTTCTCACATTTTCCCTGTTTAGCTTTTGATAAAGAATATGACACATCATTATCAGTTTACCATATCATATTTATATTTAAAATGTCCTGGGGAAAAAATCAGTTTTCATTAAAACTTCCTGACAACTTCAAGCTTTCCCTCTCTGTAACAAATCGTTACCTAAAAGTTTAAGTCACACATCTAATGCCATGAGGGTAACAGTAACAGCTTTTTTTAAACAGAATCAAATATGCAAAATGTTCATTCTGTTATTGCTTGGAGAGAAAACACAGGTAGTGAATTCTCAGGTTGTCATGATAAGAGAAGACTGTCATCACAGACAGCCAGGCTCTCCAAATTCCAAACTGCCATAAGAGGATTTTATGTAAACTCACAAAACAGGTTCCAAGTTATAAGGGAATTGAAGAGATTGCTATTAATTTGAGAAACATCAATCTGAAGAGGCACAAACACACTTTAAATTCTGTAGCAGGTGCACAAGCTGAGAAAGCAAGCTGAAACCACCATTTTTCTGTTTCATAATTATTCTAATTGTAGAAAATTTCTACCTTTTATACTTTCCTTACATGCCAAAGGTGCATGACTTCCACTCCCTGACTTGACACTAGCTCATTGATTGCCTCACAAAAAGTGACATAATAACTGTTTTTCCTTCTGAAAAATGTTTATTACTTTTTTAAATCATAGGAGTATTTTAAACCACTCAAACTTTCCAGAACACCGAAAAGTTTAAAAAGCACAATTCCTAAAAACATGCCTTTTCTTTTCTTCCTGAAATTCAATTTTCCTTAAGTACATGTAGAACACAAACTCTTCCACACATGCAGAGAGAAAGCACGTGCCTTGAAATAGAAAAAAAAATGCAGCAATTTGTTCCCATTTTAGCAAACCCAAAGAGTCTGCCTGGAATTTTCAGTGCATTAGTTCCCATGCATTAAATGATACCTCAGACATAGCCACATTTATATGTTTAATAATATTATGGTAGTTTGGCCCTTGATTAAAATGTCAGTATTTGATTTTTTAGTCCTGACACCACAAACCTGAGCCCTCAGCTCCTCTAACTTCTTTGAAGATCCCAACATGAGCTAACTTTGTAAATGAGAAATTCTTTTAAAACAAACATAATTCTGATGAGAAATACTTTTTTGATGAACTAGTGTGTAACTTTAAACATGCTTTCTTCACTATCTAATAAACATAACATTGGGCAAACTGCTACAAAATGAATTAATTTAAAGCAGGGTGTATGTTCTTACCATTAATTACTAAGAATCAAGAACTCAATACCAAAAAATATAAAACATACTATTTAAAAGCCAACATGCTTTGAAAAGCCAACTCTATAATCAGAATAAAAGTCCATGACAGCAGATGATCAGCTTCTCTCAAGGAAAATCATCACATTGGTTTATCATGCATCAACATTAAAATACCAGTTTCCCTGGAACTCTATAGCAAAGGAAAAATACAGTCTCTCAAGGCTGTAGACAATCCTGTTCCACCAAAATAAAAATCTAAAGTTCAGTAGTGCAAACTTCACCTTAAACTTCACCTCTGCCCCATCTGCTTAGTCCTGCCCACTGCTCATTCACACAAACAACATGTGGAGGGGGAGAAAGGAACTACAAGTTAAATATTCTATAGCTACATGGAACAAAAGTCATCCTCACATAAATCCTTTGAATAACCCATGTCAAAAAAACCCCAACACCCATACATTTCTTCCATTTCTATCAATTTCAAACAAAATTAGAAGTTTCTTTTTCAGAACTGAATCTGTCAATGATGAACAGGCTTGCACTCTGACAAAAAAAGTAGAATTTCTGTATGGATGTATTCAAGGCAGGCCAAGTAGGGCAAAAAGAATAAAAACAAAGAACTTATAAAAGAAAGCTGCTTTTACAATGCTAATTTTCCCCAGCAGAATTCCTTAATATGGACAAGGTATATCCTTTCTTATATCCTTGGTATTACCAGGATCTCCTATAGAAATGCCTTAATGGTAATACTGAGTCTACTATTTTAATAGCTGGTATTTCTTGTTAAGAGCAACCCTGAGCAGTGATGGTAATCTGCTCTCCTTGCTCCCCAAGAGAAGAACTGCCTGAACACCTTCCTCCAGCCCTCATTAGACAGGATCTTTCCAGACAGGTGTTCCTTCCCCTTCTGTGCTAATACTCCAAGCTGTTCACAAGATATTAAATGGGAACTGCAGTTCCTTCAGCCCATGCCAAATTATTTCCTGGCACAGATGCAGTGTGGCTCTTGACTACTTTACCTGTATGAGGATTCTTGCTCAGTCAAACAGAGCAAGAGATAAAAACAGACAAAGCAGATAGGCAATTGCCAGGATTTCCTGGCTCACAGAATTTTACTCATTTGAAGGAGAATCTTGCTGAATCTTTGCTTTTCTTATTTAGGCCAATACAGAGCAGATCTTTCATGCTGAAGTGAATCTTGGTGCCTTGCAGAAAGCACCAGCATTGGAAAAAGATCTCCCAGGTTCATTTGGTACCTCAACCACTACCACGAATATATTTTAGTCTGAATCTGCAACAAGTAGAAGGAATCTACTGTTCAGACACTTCAATTGAGAAAAAAAACCTCACACAAACCTTTCCTCATACAAACCTTTCAATACTTAAAGGGGCTCACAATAAAGACGGGAACAAACTTTTAAGTAGGTCCTGTTGCAATAAGTCATGGTGATTCTAAACTAAAGAAGACAGATTTTGACTACACATAAGAAAGATTTGTTTCCTACAGGGAGGATGGTGAGGCACTGGCACAGGGTGTCCAGAGCAGTGGTGGATGCCCCATCCCTGGAAACATTCAAGGCCAGGTTGGATGGGGCTCTGAACAGCCTGATCTGGTTGAAGATTCCCCATTACAGGGGGTTGGAATGAAGGAATTTTAAAGATCCTTTATAACTCAAACCATTCTTTGATTCATCTGTCACTCTATTAAGACTTGCCCAGACCTGAGGGTGACTGAAATACAGATAATATTATTACTAAAGGGACCCATGTATCTACTGCTTCTGTAAGCAGAATGTCAATAAGCATGTACAGCTAATGCTCTAATGCAATTATATCACCATTTAGTATGTATTTGTTGAAAGATGAGCCTATGGCAAAGGATTCCTTTCAATATACATTGCAGAAATCAATTTATTTTTCCATCAGTGGGTATGCCAAAATTGATGAACAAAATATATACACAAACTAATGAAATAACTCCTTTTTTTTTATCAATTAGAGGTAATCAATCAGAAACTAGAGAAGGATTGAAAAAAAAATCTATGTCGTACATCCCAGCTTATTAATGCAAAATTGTGGCTGAACATAGTTTTCAACTTACAAGAGGCCAAAATCTTACCTTTTTAACTGTCACACCATCCTTTGGAGTTTGCTTGGTTGACAGATTGTACCCAATCATCTGTTTAGCAAGCTGTTCAACAGTCTTAGGGCTACAAACAAAGGAAAAATTTTAGTTTACTGAAAAATATTAAAAGAAACAGTCCATAGCTATTGTAAGCCTAAGCATTATACAAGGAACAATTTATTTATGGTTTTTTCAATTGAAAAGTTCTTTGAAATTGAAAGTTCTTACTCTTTAGTTAGATGAACTCCTCCTTTCAATCCACTATTGAAAATACCTTTCCCTCTCCCTCCAGCCAGAATCTGTGCCTTCAGAACAATTTCCTTTGCCTCTGTAAAAGAAAAACACATAGCAATTCTGTGGTTTGTAAATTATTGAGCTTGTTAATATGAGATCAAAAAGCATTTCCAGATTGGACTCATTAACAAGAAGTCGTTTATAACTAGTAAGCAATAAAACAAGAGTAAATTCATCATTTCTATAAAGCAACCTTGCCAAAAAAAAAAGAATTGCCTAAGGAAGTTAAGGGATACACAGCTTATTAGAAGGATAAATAAGTCATTGCAGAGATCAGAACCATGCTGTTAATGCTACATGGCCTGCCCAACAATCCACACAACCAGCCCAGCTCCATGGCTGACACACTGGCATGGTTTTTAGACATAAACCAGATCATATTTTGTCTTGAATGCACAATAAAACAATGCTCATCAAGAGAAATAAATTCCATTCCTTGCTCTGAACAAAATCCCTATCTCCAAAGGGCAGGTGAGTGCAGAGCAAGGGCAGGAGCTGTGAAAATATTTCATCTGTCTGTGAGGCATCACTTGGATCTTTGGCAATTTGAGGATAACAGTCTCTTAGTAACAAAAAAGTACAGCAAGACACAGACAAAAACAATTGCACCATGTCCTACATTCCAAACAAAAGCAATCCTGACATCCTTACAGAATCAAACGGGGGGGAAAAATGGGAAAAGAAAACAAACTCAAACCAAACCATCACTCATCATCTCTGCAGCTCCAGATCACAGCGAATTCTTGAAGCACAAACACCTCTCAGGTGCCTTGGAGACGTTTATTAACACCAACCACTGTCACCTTGCACATTTGTCATAACAGTGCTGGGTGCTTTGCAAAGTCTGAGATCCTGATGTTAACAGATCATGAAGTGTGCCTAGAAAAGGGTCACTGTTACCCTCTCCTGCAGTCTGTGGAAATCTCTGGGTTCAGTGGATTAGGGTTCAGTTTGGATTAGGTCACACCTTGGACAATAATATTTTATCTAAGTATCAAGAAAACATAAGAATTTGCTGTTAAATTGACAAATTTACTGTTTAATTGGCACAGAGGATACAGGTACTTTAATTCAAACACACACAGGCTTTCTAGGCTGTAAAAACATTTTACAGATTATTAAATATAAGTTTAGACATGCAGCAATTTTTGATACAGGCAAGCTCTGACGCAGCATCATTTCAAAGTGCCTGCATAATAAATTTCAGCAGCTATGAAAGAAAAAAAGTTAAACCTTAGAATAGAATAAATATTATTAAACAAATATTCTATTTAACACAGGTATTGAACTTTAACACAGTAGTAGTAGCAGTTACTATTTCTATTATTATTACTATTATTAACTAGTTTTAACACAGATACTGTACTGTGAAATGCTTAATTTCCAAGCTTCATGAGGCTAAAATCTCTCCATGTGTTTATTCATTCAGTAACATTTGACATATATCACTCTGAACCTTAAAAGCATTCTCCTTGAAAATATTTCATGCATTCCAATGTATTCATGTTCTGGGCTCCCTATTACTCATGCCACTGCAGGGCAGATAACAAGGAAATTTAAATGCAACAGAAAGTTTTGTATCAAATGTTTCCTAAGCACACAAATTAAGATGAATTAAAACTATAAATCACTTTTCAACCTGCAGAAGCAAACTCTAAAAATCACAGTAGCTGCTGTGATAAAGAATCCAATATGGTATATTGGATTGGTTAATAGATGCTGTAAGCATTTAATTAAATCAATTTTAGCTTCCAACCATCACTGACAATGTGAGCTTTGATTGTCAGTGATGGGTGGTATCAGTTCTGGGAGTGATCATCACCCTCATTCCCAACCACCACGTTCCATGAGCACCAATTATCTCCACTGGGCTCCAATAAATGCAGGTAGAGAAAGGAATTAATGTGTACATTTTTATAATTCCCTAGAGGACTATCAAGGCAATACAGTAACTTCAGACAAACAACTATCAAACCCATAAACAGACACAAAAGTGAGCACAGCCATGTAAAGATGAGACCTGAAGAACTGTTCAGTGCAGCAGCTCAGCAGAGCAGGTTCTTCATGCCCTGCAGGAAACCAACAGGAAGCAATTTAATTCCATAATTATTTTCCCAAACTCTGTAAAATGAAATAAACCATCCAGATCTCATTTTACAGTAACTAGGCTTGATCATTCCATTACCAATCATTACCAAATTGATTCACTACCTAATGTCACCATCTTATTTAAACAGTTGATTTGTAGAAATGCTCACACAAAGTTTTTGTTTGTTCAGTCCTGAATTCCCAAATTATGTTATGAAAGACCATGCTAAAGCAAAAATGTGGGATTAGCTAGAATATTTGAAGTAATTCACTTTCACCTGTAGGTTTAAGAAAAACAAAGAGATAAAAAAGGTACCTAAAGTCATTATTAAACCCATTAAAACCAGAAAGATGTAACTAATTTCTATTAATACTCTTCCAAACTGTTCTAGTAACACTGGAAAAAAAAAAATGTTTAAGCAGGACTGTGTAGTTACACATAAAGGATTTGAAGAAAACTTATCACAAACAACATGCCTTTATCATAAAGTACAGTACATTTTCAACTGCATTAAGGTTTCAACCAACTTCTGTGTATGGACACTGACTGACCAGCCATGTGTAAATTAAAATACAAAAAAAACACCACAAAAACTCCAAAGAAAACCAAATAACAAACCAGCCTGCTTCTTAAGTGCACATATGTGGATTTTTAGTCATGGATTTATAATTTTCTTTATCATTAGAAACAATAGAAAAAAACCCAACAGCTTTTAAGTGTCACTAATTTAGCAACCAATAGCTGCAAACTGCTCCATGCAGATTAATAACACATTGCTGGTAACAGCATGTGTTCTTAACTAATTATAACCTGAATACATTAATATCACAGACTGAGCAGTTCTTGTATTTGCCTTTTTTACATTAAGCTGCAGAAAACAAGAGAGGTGCAGGTGAGGTGTTAAAGATAGGTTTAAATGCTGGACATGGCAGCATTAGGTTAAATGGCTGGACTTGGTGATCTTAGAGATCATTTCCAAGCAAAGTGATTCCATGATTTCTAAAGGATCCTTTAAAAAAATGGACCCAAAATACAGCTGATGCCTAAATCAGATGCTAATAAATAAGCAAGACCTTTACCCCTAAGAAGACTGCTCAGAATTCTAAATTTCAGAACTGTGTCTGGCTCTGTGTTTCTAAAAAAACTTTAACCATGGGAAAAAAGCCTTAAGTACTTATTTTTCTATAATAAATTCAGATGTTTCAGCAGGGCAGAACAGAACACTAAGGGACAAACAGCCTGTACATTGCATCCAACAAGACCTCTCCTTCCCTCAGTCAGCACTGTGAATACAAACAGCAGTGATATTCCTTGCAATTGGAATAAGCTCAGTGCTATAATGAAAGCCTATTTAAAATCAATAAAATCAGTCCTGCTTTTGGGAGCTATGATTACTCTGGTCCACTGGTACTGCTTGCAGCAAAAATGAACAGCTTGTTCTCAGCCCACTGCTGTGTATATTTAACTACTGAATTTTTGATCGTGAAACAATATACAGAGTTCTGCTGGTTATATGCTATGCTAATTTATTACCTGTGAACAACTTTCCACTATTATTGATACGACTGTGTGGCTGCAAATTAGGCATGCTAACAATTACATTAAAATGTGCTGTAGCTTATTAAAAATAAACTGCTGTAAAGAACACACGATGTACGGCTGCATGGGAACAGGTCTCACACGCTCCCCTGTTTATGAACAAAAGGCTTTCTGCCAGGGAGAACTCAGGACTACCTTGGCAAGACCTCCCACACTACAGAATTAGAGATTGGGACAAAGGGAGGAGGTCTCACATGAATTTCTAATCAAATTTCTGCCTCACCAGGGGACTTTCAGTGGTCTGGCTTCTCTGTCCAAGGGCTCTGTATAAATTAATTACTGTCTATGCCTTCTTTAAAAATGCAGAACCCGTTCCACTATGCCATCAGTGTATTTTTACCCCAGTGTAAGGCAGCTGAGCACAGAAGGGTTCACTGCAAACCCCTGACTCCAATGTAAATAAATGTAAATACTGCAGCAGCAGCAAAGTGTCCCTGATCTCTCTCAGAATGAGCTTAGCACACATAGCAAAGCAGATGAGAGCAACCCACTGTCACAGGAGCTGCACAATGGAGACAGAGCCAGGACGTGACAAAGCCAGGTTTTACAGATGCCCTGTCTCCTTACTGACCACACTGAGCACACAAACACACAGGAGCCGTGCCCATGAAGGCAGCCAGGATGCACAGCAGGAACCAGCCCACTGCAGCCAGGCAGAGCCACTGCTATCAACAATTTTGCTGGTCACCCTCCTCTAATTAAGTTGTGCTTGATCAGCAGAACTTGTGGAGCACTTCCTCCTCCTCAAATCCCAAAAGAGGCAGATGAGGTACAGGAATCTGCAACCAGCTCCAAACTCTCCCCCACTACAGAAAGGCAGAGGGCAACCTAAAGATGTATTTACCTGGGAAAACTGCTCTGAGGGACACAAATCACTTCTTTGTCTGGACATGTGCAACTTCAAGCTTTGCTTTCACCATCCAGGCTTTAGTCCACGTCTCTTTCATGGTTTTCTAGAATATTACTCCATGAAGGACTGGCTGGGAATCTCCCTGGATCACCAATTCCATCTCCCAAGCATTTATGCTTAACATTGTTTTCCTAAACACAGAGGTAAATTCAGTGTTTCCTTTCCCAAAGCAAGGGGTTTCCCTTGATTAATAGTTTTACCTTCATGAGATTTGAGAAAAACAAGGCAGACATTACAGACATTTTCTGACAGCAATTATTCCTTATTTTGGATAACACAAGAACTATAAAGGTATCATACAAATCCCAGAACACCTACATGCCATTCCTACTTGTTTCCTCACCAATGTTGATTCAAACCCACAAATGCTCAAGTGTGCTGTAAGGGTTCCAAATAATCTCTCCCAAACTGCACCTCTGCAGCTCAGAGCCTTTCC